AAAAAAAAAAAGAATGTGTGGGGCCAGAAAAGAGTCCCCACTGAATAGTTTTCAACTTGTCTAGATGTCTGGTGAAAAGAGATGGGGATAAGATTCTTTTGATTTAACAGTAGTAGTTATCATGACTAATTGAGACTGTCACAATTGTAAAGATACAAGTTTTTGTTTTTGTTTTTTTAATCAAAAATGGGGGTGTAGTTAATCCTACATTCCAGAAACAAAGGACCCTAAGACCATCAAGGGAGAAGAGCACAAGCAGAATGGGAGACCTTATCCAGAGAAGCAGTGACACCAGAGATGGAGGCAGAGATGGGGACATGGAGAAAGTGAGCAGCTGAGGACTCTAGATTCATGGGAAGAAAGGGACTAAGAGCTGGTTGCCAGGAGGCAGACTTACAGGATGTTCCCTTTTGGTGGTGTAAATTATTATATGTGCCTGAGTGTTTAAAAAAGAGAGAGAGAGAGAGAGAGAGCTAAAGTGAATAGAGAGAAATATTGTTATCTGATGGTACATGGATGGGATTATAGTGATTGTAATGAAACAAGGTGCATGGTTTGTTGAATGTAAAACTGATGATCTGCCCTGTAAACTTTCACTCAATTCACAATAAAAACTTAAAAACAAACAAACAAACTAGTTCATGTCAAAGCATGTGTGTGTGTATGGTTTGGATTTTTTTGTTTTTTTATTTTGATTATATATTGCTGCATAGCAAATTCAAAACACAGTAGTTTAAAACAGCCATTTTATTATATTTCATGATTTTGTGGGTCATAATTTGGCCAGAGCTCAGATGGCAGGTTCCTCTGCTCCATGGTATCAATTGAAGCCACTCAGTAACATTCAGCTGACTAGTATCCAGACTAGCTTCACTCACATGTCTAGTATCTGGGAAGTGATAGATGGAGTTGGACTTGGCTAGATGCTCTCTTCCTCCAATGATCGCTGGACCATTCCATGAAGTCTCTTCAATAGAGTAATCAGATTGTTTTCTAGGTAGCTCAAATATATATATATATATAAATGTTTATTCTCTGTAACAAGACAGACCAAAATAGAAGAAGGGTTTGACTTGAGCAGCCAAGTTAACCTTGTCCATTATTATCAAAAACCTTTTGGCTGTAAAAAGTACATTGGCCTATCTTACTTCACAATACTCTCCTTTCTTTATGAGTTGTCCCCTCCGCTATCTACTGCACCCACAATCTATGGCAGAGCAACAGGATTGTTAGTATCATAGACATTTAGGGTAAAAAAGGAAAGATAAGTTCCATGAGGAAAAGGTAGAATTTAAACTGAGATAATCTAGAAGGAATGTTGGGATAACAGAATAACTGTTATGTTTTTTTTTATCTACCTATGTGTATGCTCTTCTTTCCAGGGCTGCTGATAAGCTCAGGCTGTGCATTATACCCCTTAGGATGGAATAGTCCGGAGATAATGCAAACATGTGGGAATGTCTCCAATCAATTTCAGTTAGGTAAGGTGGCCTGGTCAGGATGGCAGACATGGTTCATGGGAAATCTGTTTTCTTGAAGGGGACTCTGCTTGCTGTTTGTACTTGCTTGAGCCTCTCTCATCCAATTAGCTTGTGGAAAGTGGTAGCATGGTCTGACTCATCTGGCCTTTCTAGGTCACAATGTTTGGGTACAAGTTCAATTTCCTTAACTTTATCTTTCCACAGTATAGTATACACATCCAATGACTGGTCCTGCTAGCTAGTGAAGAGAAACATAAAGATTTAGCACATTTCTCCTACTTGGCTGTTGGACCTATGATTCTATCATTTAAAAAATAACATTTGAATGATATCTAATTCATACACTATAAAATTCACCTTTAAGAGTGTATAGTCAAATTGTTTTTATATACTAACCAGGTTGTACAGACATTGTCTAATTCCAGAACATTTTTATCACCTCCAAAAGAAAACTCATTTCTATTAGCTGTCACTCCCTATACATCCTTTTTCACAACCATTAATCTTCAGTCATTAATCTGCTCTCTGATTAGATTTATCTGCCTATTCTGGACATCTCACAAAAAATGCAATCATATAATATGTGGTCTTTTGAAACTGTCTTCTCTCACTATTCAATATTCTTACAGGGCACCATGCACTTCGGTGTATGGGTAGAACACATTTTGTTCATATACTCAAATTTGGGCTATTATGAATAATGCTGCTATGAATCATGTTGTTGTTCTTAAGTGCTGTCAAGTCGGTTCTGTAGGGTTTCCGAGGCTTTAGATCTTCACAGAAGCAGAAAGTCTCATCTTTGTTCTGTGGAGTGGCTATTGAACCATGGACCCTGTGGTTCACAGTCTAGGGCTTATTGTATGGCACCATCACACTCCGTTGCTATGAATATTTGTATACATGTTTTTGTGTGGAGATATGTTTTCATTTCTCTTGGGTATGTGCCTTGGAGGTGAATTCCTGGGTCAGATGTTAACTCGTATTTTAGCTTTTGAGGAACTGCCAAACTCTTTCAAGGAGACTTGTATAATTTTACATTTTCATCTGCAGTGTATGATGATTCCAATTTCTCCAGATCCTCATTAATCCTCATTAATACTTTTTACATTTTATGGCCATCCTAATGGGTATGAAGTAGTTCTCATTGTGATTTTGATTTGCATTTCCATGATGGCTTATGATGTTGAGGACTTATTCATGGATTATTGCTCTTTTGTATATATTATTGGAGAAGCATCTATTCATGTTCTTTGCCCATTTAAAAATTGGATTATCTTTTTTTTGTTGAGTTTATATATTCTGTGTACTAGACCTTTTTCAAGGAGCCCTGGTAGTGTAGTGGCTATGCATTGGGCCACTAACCACAAGATCTGCAGTTCAAATCTACCAGATGCTCCATGGGAGAAGGATGAGGCCTTTTTCTCCCATAAATATTTACTGCCTCAGAAACTCTATACAGGGTTGCTATGAGTTGGAATCCACTTACTCGGTGGCACACAACCACGAATTACCACCACCATATCTTTTTCAAATGTATTATTTGACAATATTCTCTCCTATTCTGTGGGTTATATTTTCACTTTATTTAAAAAAAAAATTGAGTTAAGTATACATTTTGAGCCCCAGTGTAGTGCTGTAGGATAAGCATTTCACTCCTGACTGCAAGGTCAGCAGTTAAAACTCACCAGCAGCTCAAATCATATAGAAAGTCATTAAGAGTCAGAATAGGCTCAACAACAAACAACAACCATAACATAGCAGAGTAGAATGTAGCATTTATTTTGGCTCTCTTGTTTGGTTTTGGGAGGAGATAAACAAGATCAATATAAGTCATGGTCTTTGCAAAGCTTGTAGTAGCCATGTCTTTCTTGAAAGAGATGAGAAAGGTGGGGAGAAGAATGGTGGTGGTGGTGTCAGTTCCAACTCATAGTGACCCTGAATAGGGTTTCAAAGGCTGTTAATATTTATGGGAGCAGATAGCCTCATCTTTCTCCTGTAGAGCACCTGGTAGATTTCAACTGTTGACCTTGCAGTTTGCAACCAATGAGCAATCCATTATGCTATGAGGGTTCCGTAGGGAGGAGACTAGAGACAGGCATTATCAGTTTGCAAGTGGTAACATGATGATTTTATAAGCTTACATGGAAACAGCTGTGTCTCATTAGAAATATTTAATGTCTGTGAATTTTGAGAGTAACTAAAATAGATTTCTCACTCTGACAGGCCTCCTGCAGCCTTGACTATGAAGGGTTCACACTCATGTTTCCATTCCATCTTCCCCTAGGTTTCCATTTAAATTATTCTGAACTGTCTACAGCTATGATTTTTAGCCCTAGCTTTAATTACTGAAGATATAACTTGTATAGGATGATGATATTGATGTCGTTGGTGGATTAACTATAGCTACACATTCATGGAAGCAGCAGTCAAGAAAACAAACAACGTTGGAGGAGCATACTGAAAGTGCCATGGGTTGCCAAAAGAACAAACAGATCTGTATTGGAAGAAGTGCAGCCAGAGTACTCCTTGGAGGCCAGGATGGCCAGACTTCATCTCTCATACATCAGACGTATTGTCAGGAGGGACCAGTCGCTAGAGAAGGATATCATGTTTGGTAAGGTGGAGGGACAGAGAAAAAGAGGAAGTCCCCATTGAGATGGATTAGCAAAGTGGCAGCATCAATGGGCTCAAGTGTGGCAACAATTGTGAGGTTGGCCCAGAATTGAGCAGTGTTTTGTTCTGTTGTGTATATAGGGTCACTATGAGTCAGTACCGATTTGATGGCACCTAACAACAATAACAACATTGCAGTAGGAAAATCTGCTGCGCAAGACCTCTTTAAAGTGTTGAAGAACAAAGATGTCAGTTTGAGGACTAAGTCGCACTTGACCCAATCCATGGTATTTCAATAGCGTCATGCATGTGAAAGTTGGACAGTGAATAAGGAAGACCATAGAAAAATTGATGCATCTGAGTTATGGTGTTGGAGGCAAATATTAAAAGTACCATGGACTTCCAAAAGAACAAACAGATCTGTTTTGTAAGAAGTACAGCCAGAGTTCACCTTGGAAGCTAAGATGGCCAAACTTTGTCTCTCATACTTCAGACATATTGACAGAAAGGACAATTCACTGTAGAAGGATATCATGTTTGGTAAAGCAGAGGGTTGGAGAAAAAGAGAAAGACCCCCAATGAGATGGATTGGCACAGTGGTGGCAGTGGTGGGCTTAGGCATAGCAATGATTATGAGGTTGACCCGGGACGGGGCAGTGTTTCGTTCTGTTGTACATAGGGTCGTTGTGAGTTGGTACCAACTCAATGGCACCTAACAACAACCACAACAAACACATTCTTTGGCATTTTTTTCCATAGACATGTTATGTTAGCCAATAGAGCATGACAAAAATGACATCAAGCTCATTCTAGGGCTAGCCTCTTAAAGAACTGGCAGTTTCAGCCTGGTTGCCTGGATCTTTGAGCTACCTAGAAAACAATCTGATTACTCTATTGAAGAGACTTCATGGAATGGCCCAGAGATCATTGGAGAAAGAGAGCATCTAGCCAAGTCCACCTCCATCTATCCCTTCCCAGATACTAGAAATGTGAGTGAAGCTAGTCTATATGCTTTATACCAGTGGCTTCAATTGATAACATGGAGCAGAGGAACCTGCCATCTGAGCCCTGGCCAAATTGTGACCCACAAAATCATGAAACATAATAAAATGGTTGTTTTAAGCTACTATGTTTTGGAGTAATTTGCTATGCAGCAATGTATAACCAAAATAAAAAAAAACAAAAAAATCCAAACCATACACACACACATGCTTTTACATGAACTAGTTTTTGTTTTTTAATCAAAAGTAATTCATGTGCATGACAAAGTAAAACAGTGCATAAAAGTTTAAAATGGAAAAAAAAGTATATATATATATATATATACAAGAATCAGTCTTTTCCCTAACTCCAGATAAATGGTGGCTGCTCATGAAGTGTACTGGCTGGGAATATAACCCAAGACTCTCACATGAAAGGCAAAAATTCTACCACTGAACCCCTACTACTATCTTTACAGAAGCTGATTATTTCTAATGGGATACAGCTGTTTTTCCTGTAAGCTGATCAAATCATTATGTAATCAATTGCACTGAATTGTAAGATAAAGAGTATAATCATCTATCAATTTGTAACATGTTCTTATGAGTATAGTCTAAACTTGAAAAACTAATTCACAGCATATAATAATATACCCATTTTACAATGAGGAAACCCTGAGGTCTGAAGAGGCAAAATGATTTGTCTTTTGTCACTGATCAAGTTAGGGCAGAACTGTAAATGGAGCCTATCTCCCAATCCCCTATTTTGTGTGCGTCACAACTTTTTTCCTCTTCTCCATTGGTGTGGACATGTCTTGAGTCATTGAAATGCCTTTTTTTCTAAAAAACACACTTTACCTCAATTGTTAACAGAAACAAATATCTGAAACAGCATGGAAAGTACCCAGTTTACCATCCTGTCTCCCACCACTCCCATCAGTCCTCAATTAACCTTTGAGTATGTTGTTGTTGTTAAGTGACATTGAGTTGATTCTGACTCATAGTGACCCTATATAGGGTTTCCAAGGAGCAGTTGGTGGGTTTGAAATGCCAACCTCATGGTTCACAGTTCAGTGCTGATCCTACTGCACCACACCAGAAGTCCTAATATTTGATTTTAATCAATAAAAATAAAGCAGTTGGTGGACTTGTTGGGATTCTGAAAAAATTCCCCAGTGTAATGAGTATGTGACAGAAAATTTAAGTGCCCTAGATTTGACTTACAGTAACTAATAAAGGCAGCTAAATTGTCCTGCTAAATTTGATCACAGAAGAAAGAAATACAGCTTTTGTATATTCCATGTGTTCTCAAATCATATGCTGTTTACCTGAGGCCTCTCTCTGGTAACCCCTTATCTGCTTCTTATCTCTTCTTGAGAGAAAGACATTTTATGGGGTGGGTTGAGT